ACATCAGGATTGTTTTAAAGATTGTCCATATAACCCTGCCAGCCAGCCAGTGTGAGAACAGTCTGATTTGACTGTTGACACAACAACATGCAGCACTAGTTCTCCTTTTAGAGACAAATGAGGATGAAGAGAACCCATTGTTGCCCCCTATTGTCATTTAAGTAAGATCCAGTGCAATAGATATGTGGAGATCAAAGGATCAAACACATGGCTCTCTTTGGGAAATTTCACCCTGTGGTGCTTTTTCTTGATTTCTGCAATGCCTGATGTATTTTGGAGCACTTAACATCACTGTCCTGGAGCAGTGTATCACCACCTGGCTGGTCTGGAGTGCTTCAGTGCCTAACTTGCACTGGAGTGCTTCAATGGGCAGCCCTGAGGCAGCTCTTCAGTGCTCTGCTGTCAGAAGCACTCTAATGTGGGTTTTTTCTTGGAGCTCACCACCTCCTTGCTTTTGGGCTGCTTTTTAAATTTTATTTTATTTCCCCCCCATTTGGCTTTTTTGGAGTGCTACACGCCATAAGTGTAGCAATCCAAAAAGTGCTACAGGTTTTATTGCTGCATCTCAATGCAGTTCCTGTGACATGTGCTTTCCATGTGTCACTTTCCATGTTTTTTCTTGTGGAACTAGCAGATGAGCAGGTGGATGAGTTTACATGGAGTTTTGTGCTCTTTAATGGTCTTTTGAGCTTGGGGATTGATCACTTGGGATGGTCTTTTTTTCCAGAGGATATGACCAGCTTTGCATCCTCTCTTTTGTCAGTTTGATGCTGTCCTGGTTTTAAGAGGAGGTAGCTTATGCTTTGAACAACTTTGTGCTCAGTGTTCATTGTTATTATTATTTTTTTGGTGGTTTTATATTGGGTTTTGCCCCTCATTCTCTTGCCCTGCATGGTATTAGGAGGGTCACTTTGGAAGCTGCAGTGTCTCATTGGTGGCTTGGGGGCTTTTCCTAGCAATGTGTTAGGGTGGAGCTTGTAGAACAAGATCCTAACAGTGAGAGAGAGAATGTAAATCTGGGGGAGAATGCCTAGCCCAGGAGCCTTGGTAGGTGCCTGAGTGCTGAAAGCTGAAGCGCCTGATGCTGCTGGTTGGAGGCAGGAGAATCCTGGCAGTACCTGCATGGCCCTGTCACCACGGCGGCTGGCGGTGGAGCTGGTGTAGCGTTCAGGGCCCTGCTGCAGGCCTGTGATGCTGAGCTGCAGAGGCAGCAGCTGGAGGGTGCTGTTGCCACGGGAAAGACTCTCAGGCCCAGAGGAGAGGGAGCACAGTGCAGTCGGAGCTGCTGAGCGAGTCAGTGAGTCGTCAAGGAAAGGTCCTGTCCTGACTGTCGTGTCTCATCCTCTTTTGGTAGAAGCACAGTGGTTGGGGTTTCTTTTCCTCCCGCTGCTTTGTTAAAATACATACCTTATTTTCTTGTGCCTGTTGCTGAGAATCACACAGAATCACAGAATGTCAGCGGCTGGAAGGGACCTCTGGAGAAGAACTGCTTCACCTTCTCTTAATCCTCTGTTAGCCGTTTGGTGTCAGCATTTTAGTTTCTAGTTACACCTGTTTGTTTTTCAGAGAGCTAGTGTGAAGGAGCAGGGACTAGATTTTACCTTCAGTTCTCCTTGGAGAAGCTGCTGCAGAAGGAAGGGAGCCTCTGGTTTTGGGAGCTGTGCCACAGGAGGACAGCTGAGCAAGAATCCAGCATGATAGCACCAATGTTTTGCTTTTGGCAATAAAAATTGGAGCAAGTATGAGCTGAGACATAGTGGCATCTGGTTTATTCACTGTGTGGTTACCTATGCCCTGCTAACAGCTCTCAGGGAGATCCTTCAGCCCCACCTGCTTCTCATCCCTGACACATCCCAGAGTTCCTGCGTGGTGAAATCCTTACTGCTGCTGTGCCACTGGAGCAAAGAGTGGGCAGCCCGTGGCTGCGAAGGTCTGGCTGAAGTTCTACTGACTTCCAGTGGGTAAGAGCTTGTGGTGGAAGGGGCTGCTTCTCCTTCATGAGAGCTGCTACCTTCCTGCCAGCTTGTGCTTCTCTTTCTCTGTTTAAGGATGGGTCTTGAAAGCAGAGCTCCAGGTAAGTGCAGGTCGTATCAGTGTTGCCATTCAGTGTAGGTGAGAAGGTGTCTCTGCAGGGAAGGGACTGGGCAGGAGGCAGCAGAGCCGTCCCACCCTGACAGGAGCACCTATCTCCAGAACACCCACCAGCACCTATCTCCCAAGCCTGAGCTCTGTGGAAAAAAAAAAAGCTGTTCTTTTTTCCCTGTGCAATTCACTTAAAAGAGCTGAAGCGGGGTCTGGCCCCTCTCTCAGCTGCTCTGGTTGGACTGTGGCCTACCTGCTCCTCCCTGCTTGAGGGACCCACTTAGGTCACGGCCTGTCCCTGCTGGACAATTCTGCACTTAAAGGGAGTTTTAAGTGACTTTAAGAGTCCTTTAAATGCTCCATTTCAGTGCAGTCATGGGTGGTAGGGAGGCCCTGGCCGATGGAGGGGGCCATACCCTGTCACTCCCTAGACCAAATGAGTTCTGTGGGGACAAAATAGCTCTGTGGGGTTTCTGGCCCCATGCAAGGCCCTTGGGCTCACTGCCCTGGACCCCTATTTGCTGGAGCTCAGTTTAGGAGCAGACATTGGTCCCTGAAAGTGAAACCTGTGGCCAATTTTGGGGAGTTTGGAGTTGGTGCGGTCACAGGCTAAGGGTAAGGTGACTGCTTGGCTGCTTTGCTCAATGGGAATCTCTTCCATTCTGGGGATGCTGCTCACAACAAAGGCAGCTGAGAGGCAAAGCACAGCTTGTTCTCCTGCACTGGAACACTGCTTTGCTGCTTAGAAGACTTCAAAATGTCAAAATATAGCAATCTGGCAGACCCCAAAAATTAAATCCACAGTAGGGGCTGAGGCAGCTGCTGCTTACTGCCCTCTGTGGGGACAGGGGTATGGTGGTGGCTGAGAACACTGGACAGGCTGGACCAGAAGAGGTCTCTTGGAGCTCTCAAAGTGATTTCCAGAATTTTAAAGCAATTCTTTCCTCCAGTTTTTTCTTGACACTGTACTGCTTGCTAGGGGTTGAGCTTTTGTTTTTTTAGTAACAACATTTTTCCAGGTGTGGAAAATTGTCATTTGCTTGGCTTTGTTGCACCAGGAAAAGTCTAAGAAAAAGAGGTGGAAGGAGCATCAGGACACTGATAACAGGTAGCATTGCTAGCTGATGCCCAGTAAGTAGGAGAGGTTTCAGGAGATAAACATAGTTTCAGAAGAAACCATGAGATTTCAGGAGAAATTACAAGATAAAGCCTCTTGATGATGACATACTGCAACTCTCTGGTCCTTTAAATTTCTTTGTTGAGCTGGGAAACAAACGGATTTGGTACTTACCCCTATTCAAAGATGTCATTTTGATGAATGATTTCAGTAATTGTTTTGCCTAACAGAGCAAATGATGAGATCCTCTCCAACGTGTATTTTTAAGAGTGGCTAATGACGAGAGGATTTGAGCACTTGAATGGACTTGAATATCCTTTTGCCATGAAATTTAATTGGTCAGCCTGGTAGTTTAGCAGAAATGGGATAATCTATATTAGTCCTTTGGTTAGGAAAATTCTGGCTCAGGGGGAAAACTATAAAAAAATAATTCACAATGCTGATACTGACTCCATGTTTTCTGCTTTATTAGCAGGATTTGCTGCTCACTTTAAATTCACGAATAGACAAAGTATTTACAAAAGCCATTTACTCCAAAAGTAGGCAGTACCACATAGTTTAAAACAGGAAGCATTTGTCATCACGATAGAAAAGACTTGATTTCAATACACAAAAGTCCATGATATCTTACGTCTAGTTTAATAAGTAGGTATTACTGCTACTGTCACCTGCTCTATCACTATTATCAGTTATGAAACACCCATCCTGGATTTGCACAAACTCAGAATCATAAAAACAGCACTTGGGAAGGCAGTGCAGAATTCATCTTGAATTGTTGCCTCACCTTTGACCCAACGATGAGCTGGCTGAGGCCTAGAGTTTGTCTCCATTGCTTCCAGAAAGACAGATCTTGTCAAGATCTGTCCTATTTTGGCCCTACTTGGTGGATTTTCTCCCACTAACATACTCAAGTTTTACATGGGTCCTACTGCGAAACAAGCTGAAACAAATGAAATTCCCTCTGAACATAAGAAAACACTTTTTTTCCTGCCAGCACTGTCGAACTGGTCCAGGGAAGCTATGGAGTCTCTGTCCCTGGAGTCAGTCTAAGCCCAGCTGGATACAATCCTGCTCCATCTGTTGTGGCTGACCATGCTCAAGAAGAGGGGTGGACTAGACAATCTGGAGATGTTGTTCCTCCCCTCTAAAATTTTGTGATTTATTCTGTGAGGAGCTCAGCGAGTGAATGCAGCAGAAGCTGGACATAGGTGGTGGCAGTGAGAGAAGGGAACAGGCCCCTTCAATATGTAGCTGTGCCATTTCCAAATATGTATAAACTGAGTAACACTTTACATAAAACTACAGAGTGGAGTGTTGATAAAATATTCTTAAACATGGTGTCACAGGAAGAGACTTGAGGTTTTCCCTAGAGTGTGAAGCAGTATTTGGCTTTGTAGAGAGTGTGCCTTTCATAAAAGCATGCTGCACGTTGGACAATAGAAAGCTGGTGGTCTGTGGACTTCAAGGAAGCTTCATCATGAGCGGTAAACTGGGGGGGTAAAGAGTAACATGAAGCCAAGCAGGTGCTTTTGCCATCCTTCCTCTTATGGGCAGAAGGAAAAGGACATCAAATAGCTTAAAGGTATGAATGATAAGCTCAGAGAGGTTAAGAGATTTCTCTTAAGAAGAAAATAAGAGTCGTGATTGCGAAGATCAGCAATCAACTCTTCCATCATTGTAGCATGCTTTAATGCATTCATAGACTTTTTTTGTTCACCTGAAATTGGAAACAACTCTAAAATGAGTGTCTACATCCCAAATATGTAAGTGAATGAACTGAAGCACAGCATCAGTCTGAGTTATGGGGTTATACCAGCAGTCCAGTGAAAAGAGTTCTGGTGGAAATGCATAGTAGGCTGCTTTTCGAGGGCTCTCACCAGTGATGGGTATTCCCACAGGCAAGGGAGAAGCTTCTGAGGAGTCATTATTTCCTCTTTACCTCCTCTCCAAAACGGGTGAGGTTGGAACTGCAGAAAATTTATTTCAGTTTTATGCAGTCTACCTCCTCTGTGACAGGCAGTGCATTGGTTCTCAGATCTAAATCTGTACTTGATTTGCTTCCATTATATGTTGATCTCCACCTGAGCAACATGATCTTCTTGAAATACTTCATGGTGTTATTTTTTACTGTTATGAAGCACATGGTGTTGATCATGCTGTTACTCATAGCAATGCACTCAACTATGTAGAAAGCGGTGAGATAATGCTTCTCTTTCACAAAGATGGTGGGGAAAAAGTCTCGGACAATTGAGAAGCCATAGAAGGGTGCCCAGCAGAGAACGTAGGCTGTCAGGATGCACATCAGCACCATCACAGTTTTCCTTCTGCACCGAAGCCTCTTCCTGATCTGTTCTGTCTGAAATCCTGGTACGGTTTTAAACCAAAGCTCCCTGGAGATCCTGGCATAACACAAGGTCATCGTAATCACAGGTGCCACGAATTCAATGCCAAAGATGAAGAGGAAGTATGATTTGTAGTACATCTGCTGGTCAACTGGCCAAATTTGGCCACAGAAAATTTTCTCCTGGTTTTTCACCATAAATAACACTGTTTCAGTAGCAAAGTATGCAGATGGGATGGCTACGAGTATGGAGACGATCCAGACCAAGGCGATTAGGAAGGTTGCTGTTTGGTAATTCATGCGTGGTTTCAGTGGGTGAACGATGGCCAGATACCTAGAACAGACAAACACATTCAAAATTAAGAAGTCTGCAAACACTATTAGTCAGAAAGTGCTTCAAAATACGAGTGGGCAGAATTAGGCAGAAGGAAATTGTTGTCGTTCTTAAGGAGAGGCAAGAGATTGTGACTGTGAGGAGAGTTAAGGCAACTTTCCAAAGTAGCAGCCTTGAACTGAGTTCCTAAACTCAGGCAGAAACTCTGGAGCAAGTGGCTGAAGGGGTTCGTAAGTACAGCAGGTATTTGTCAATCTGAAAATCTGAATGTACATTAGCGTGTTTGAGGATGGTTTCAAAACCTCAGTCTTCAACTCCCACCTGTTAACAAGATCAAACTGAGAATTTGCAATTTTTTTTATACGAACGTTTCCATTTTAACATAGATCTCGTAGCTGAGGGTTACAGAAAGTTGTGAAGAGGAGAGAGGCAATGTTCCTATTACTGACAAATACAAGCAGAAGAAAACTCTTTTCCGTAGGCAGAGAACTATTTAAATATACTTTTTTTTTTTTTTTTTTAACCAAGAGGTCAAACATACCTAACACTTTTCCTATTATTTTTTTGAGTTATTTCGTGGGGTACAAAGAACTAAAGCTGATGCTAGTGAGTGGTTACAGGTGAGCAGGTTTTCAAGCCATCAGTAAAGGACTGTGTATCCATGTTCTGCCCACACACCTTTTTGTTATCATGTGCTGGAGGTGACTGTTGCTAATTAATCTTAAATATGCTGTCTTAAGTAAAATGCCAAACCATGAAACTTGAGCATTTGCACTGCATAGGACTGCAAAGCTGCAAGGTGCACTGCAGTGTTTCACAAAGAGATGTGGGGAAATGGAAGCAAGATCCATCAATTGCCTTTACTTCAGTTAAAAAGGGGCTAGGACCAAATAGCATTCATTCTGGGTGGGTTTTTTTTGGTTGGAGTTTGGGGGGGTTGACTTTTTTAGGAAGCTGTATGTGTAAGAAGGGCTCATATTAGAGGACACTGTGCCAGAAAGATTAGGATATTTCTGCTAAAAGGAGATTTTTATCAGAGACACTCCAGGGTTCCCAGTACAATTGTATTTAACACAAAGGACTGTTTCAAACATTAGAACTTTTCATTCATTCAGAGGCTTTTCTATCTGTATATATTCTATACATAGGTACCATCCAGAGGATATATTCATTCCAAAATGAAATGGAAAGCCAGTGGTGCTTTTCATCAGCCAGATTTTGGAAGCAGATGAATTGTCCATTGCTCTTAATAGTGCAGGCTAAATGTCAAGGGCCAGCAAAATTATTCAGCCTCATTGTGGAACTGATAAATGAATATTTTTAGATCGAGTCTTGTGGAAACAAGATTGGGGGATAATGTATGTGCAGGCATTCATAAGTATGAATAACTACTCAGCAGCATGTTTGGCTGGATGGGGTACATCTCTAAAAGAGTCAGAGGGGAGGGACTCTTTTAGAGTCAGGAGGGAGCTTTTGTGGTGGATTTCATGACTGTCATTGCTTACCACGCTTGGGCTGTTACTGTAGAGTGGCCTTGGAGCATGTGAACTGTGTTCAGGGAAAACTGCCCTGGAGGATGTGCTCCAAAAGTGCACATGAAACACACCAAGTGCCCATGGGTGTTCTGTCCAGAGGACCTGGCTAAAGCTAAACACCCCAAAATATTTACAACATGGACATTGGACCCTTGGCACAAACTCTCACTCTTCAGATTCTCTCTTTTCACATTGCATTATTTTTAGTGTAGATGTGGCCTTAAATATGTGAAATTCCTGTGTTTCATGTGAATGGACATCAAGGAAGATGGAAGAGAGCCCTACCTGAGGGAAATCCTGTGGGACAAGCTTACCCTCTCTACACAGGTGAGCCTTTCTAGATCATTTTAAATGATATAGACATAAGGAGACTTTTGCTAAGAGCCTGCTATTATTTTTAGAGACTAAGTTGACAACCCACATGACATAACCAAAATGGAATGGTTGATTGTTAAATGAACAAGTTTTCTCTCTGTTTTTGTGAGTTTAAAAGCTCATTCATGTACATAAAAAAGTCAGTGAAACCAAAACAGTATGTTCTTACAACAAACTTTAGTGATTAATCATTTCCAGGATTGTTTTTAATGATGTGCGGGGAGATATGCTAGAAATCTGATTTCTTAGTAGACATAAGGGCTCAGTGACCCCTGTTACCTCATCAACCTGGGATGCACTGGCAGAGCTTTCCAACAAATGTTTTTAGAAGTTGAAAAAAGTAAGTTGTAGAAAATTATACTGGATGTGTGATTGTGTTTTAGAAGCTCAATCCCGAGTCCTCAGCTGCTGTTGAAAGGTTATTTTGTTAGACACTTGTTAAGGATTTCTTTTATAGGAGCTGATTGTCTTCTCCTCCACACCAGGCAAAACATCTGTGAACTTCCTTGGATCATTCCACAGACTTCTGTCGACGTCAATAACAGCCCAATCAGCCACACACAACCTGCATCAGCACAACCACCAGCAGGGTTAACAGCTCCTGGGCTGTTTGGATCAGGTACCAAAAACTGGGCAACATTAGACTAGGAGCATAAAATGGCACACGAGAGAAAGTGGGGAAAACAGGGAAGGGTGGCAGGTGGGAATCATGCAGAGGGTTTACAGGGATCTGCGTTGTGTTTGCACACAAAAGGTGACTTGTGATGGCCTTTCTGTAAGGAGTTTATGGGTCTGTGGCTTTCTGTGAGGCAGATTTTTTTCAGCATGAAGCTGATCCTCAATGTCTGGGTCCATCAAAGTCTGTAGTGCACGACACTAAGAGAACAGGAGTCATAAGAAAAAATACAATTAAATTATATTGTTAAATCTCCTGCTGTGAGAGTCAGGCATAGAAATGTCTCAGGAGTGCAGCAGAAAGCAGGTAGTGTAGCAGGTGGATACCATCATGTCCTGCTTACATCACTATGAAGGATGTCAGAAAAACTCTGCTAAACTGGGTAGGTAAAACATTTTATCCTTTTCTGGACAGTGCTATAAATATGGGTGGCACAAATGACCTCTGGGTCTTTCCTGGCTTGCCACTGTGCCATCCTCAGAGGAGCATGTAAAGAGAGAGGGGTGGATGAGAAGAGAGTATTTTAATGGAGAGGAGAGTGCTGGCCACACTCACCAGGCGCCCACTTGTGGGTTGGGCATCCAGCTTCAGACCTCAACTCTATCAAATGGTTAATGCTTGTTTGATTTTCTCAGTATAGCATGACAGAGAAGAATACAATAAGAATAATAGAGAATAAGAACTCTATTTTGCAGGCTAAATAGAAGCCTTCTCTCTTACTCTCTTTCACACATAAACAAAACCAGAGAGAAATACCTTAGAGGGAGAAAAATATCTTGTAAGGCAAAAACCCTGTTGGAAACTCATCTGTTAAATTCTGTGTCACCAGTCAGCTATTTGTCTCACTGAAGAGTATGTAATTCACTGTTTATAGGCAAGGTTAGACTCAGAGAACCTGTGCAGGCCAGTAGTGAAGGTTCCTTCACTATGATGTATGGTTTGGGTCAGGATTATATAGTGCTGATAAAGACCCTCATCTCTGGTGTTTCTGATTTCTCTCTCTCTTCCTCCTCTTTCCTTTATTTCGTAAATCCTCTCCTGATTGAATCAAGCATATTTTGATGAGGAGAAAATCGTTTTAATAAGTCAACATTATTTTCACCTGAAAAGTTCAAGAAATCTCCGCTGAGATTTCTTTTGCCCAAGAAAAATAAAGACATTTCCACTGATTTTTCACTGGGGTAGTGCCATGACCTCATGGGATTAGATTCTTATGAAACAAGGTCTGCATAGTACCTACCTTGCCATCAGATCCTCCACAGCAGCTGAGAGTGTGAAAACCTAGAGATCTCAACAGTGAGCCCCCATAGCAGTGGCCATCTCCTTGTGCAGCGATAGCACCCCACTTACCTGTCCACAGCTATAGCCAGGAGGGCGTTGGTGGACACGTAGAGGGAGACGGTGCGCAGGTAGTTGACTGAGGCGCAGAGGACGTGGCCGTGCTCCCAGGACAGCTGCCTCACCACGTAGTAGTCCATCTCGAAGGGGCAGCACACGATGGCCACGATGAAGTCCGAGATGGCCAGGTTGGCAATCAGCAGGTTGGTGAGGTTCCGCAGCTTCTTGTAGCGGGCGAGGGCGGCGATGAAGATGAAGTTGCCCACGCCACAGACCAGCATGATGCCGGCCAGAGCCACCCCGATCACGATCTTGGCCGCAAAGAAGGTGCGGGTTTTGGTCATGTCATCTTCGCTGTCCAGGGGGAGGTCGTAGTCGCTGTAACTGAAGTTGAAAGGGAAGGAGAAGTTTCGGGAGGAGGTTAAATCCCCATCGTGGAGATTGTAGATTGCAGCAAAGCTGAGGCTGATGGTAGCGTTTGGGTTGTGCTCAGCTTGCTCCATGGCCGCGTCCGTCCTCTTTTGATACGTGTGGCTTGGCTGGCCCTTGGTTTTGTGTTAGAATTACCACAACGGTGGCAGGTGAAACACCTCATCCAAAGTTTCCTTCTGAGCAGTGAGTCACCTTGTCTTTGTCCCCGTGAGATTATAGAGCAACAGCCTCATTTATCTCCTTCTGTGGGAACAAAAAGAGGAAAACATTTCCTGAGCAGAAATTACAGGAAAAAATACTGTGCTCGAGGGGAAGCGGTAGCCACCTTATTGCCCCACAGCTCTATTGCTGGCTGTGCACAGTGGGAAGACACACCCTCTGAGAGGATGCTTCTGTAATCATAAAATCCCTTGGGTTCCATCAGGCACTGCTGCTTGCCCCCAGCAGTTTTATTGACCATCGATAACATTTGGTTTTCAGCACACAGTGAAATGACAATATAGGAGGGGTGTGAAATCCTGTTTAAATCTCCATCAGCCTTCAAGCCCACAGTGCTGCCATCCCTGTGCAAGGTAAAAACACTAAAATGAGATGACACCTTAGTTTGCTGAAAAGTATCTGATGTGCCTTTTGGACAAAGTTTTTGCTTTATGCTAAGATGTCTGAGTGACGTGGTAGGTGAGGATAAAATGAGAACTGATGTCTTGTCTTCTAAACGCATTTCTTAATTAAGTAAGAGTTGCCAAGACCTAAGAAAAGAGCAAAGCCAGCACTTTCCTTTTTGGTAGGCATTAATTGAGTAGGGGGACCAAATTTTCATCCAGCATAATCCATTATTGCTTCTCTCAAACCAGTGGAGCTCTGCCAATTTACATAGACAAGATTTTGTCCCACGAACCATCTTGTAGGACTTTGCTGTGAAGGCAAATCTGCCATTCACAGGGAGAGTGCTTCCATAAACAGGCTCTTGAGGTGAAAGGGAAATTCTTCTTTAAACAAGACAAAGTGCCTTGAAGTTTTTGAGCTGGGGAAGAGCAGGTTTCCCTCTTTGTACAACGGGTTGCACCAAATGCTAAAAATGGATTTGTTTTCCACAGTGAGGAAAAAAACCCAAATCTACTCCCTAATTTTACCTCTATTTTGTATCAAAATGCTGAGAGGGCTGTCTTCTTGCATCTTCCCATGTCACATCTGGGAATCCTCACACCAGACTCCCAGCTGTCAGAACAGTCCCACCCCAACCCAGAAAAGAACAGGGGCATTACTGCTTATTCTGCATTGAGGCAGTAGGTCTTCAGGATGTCAAATGCTATTGAACAATGTCCATCATGGCTACAAAGGACAATCTGCATAGTGGAGCTGTTGACCCCTTCTTTCCCTGGAACCACCCTCAGCCAGTGCTTAATAAATTACGGAGAGAAACTCTCTGGTACAACTTCTGTCTCCACGTTGCTTTCCAGAGTTGCAGAACAACAGCATCACAGAAAGCCAAAGCCAGAAACTCAGTAACACTTCAAACAATTGACTGCTTTACGAGACATCCCCACAGCCGCCTGGGATGGTGAGCATTCATTTAAGAGAAGTACTAAATAATTACTTGGATGCAAAATCAGCACGTTGGTCAAAGCAAGGTGCAGTACCTGTTTCAGGCAGGGTTCCCTGCTAAAGACCACGAGAGCACTTTCAAATACATACAGACAACACAACCATCCACAAACTGACAACACTATCAGCTAACTGTACCTGCAGTCGCTCTCATCTTCTTGCGGGTCTCCGGCATCCCGGGGGTTCCCTCCAGGTATCTCGCCTGCAAATGTGCTGCTGCTGTCACTGGAGCAGAGACGGGATCCCTGGAAGCAGGCAGAGGACTTCAGGAAATGAATGAGCCTTCTTCTCCCAGGCAGGTTCGCCCTGCTGCTCAGGGGAGGATGGCTCCGCTGCCTCTGTGCCTGCATCTAAAGCTTTTTCTCGGTGGGAGGCACCTTGAAGCTGTCCATGCATTTCTGATTTTAAAGAGGCAGTGCAATACAGAGACAATAGAGCACAGCCCTATCTCTCTTCCTTTTTTTTTTTTTCTCCTCTGCTTTAAACTCCCTGAATGCATCGACTTGATGGAGTGGCTTTGTTACCAAGCATGGAAGGTGTAAAACCCCTGTCTGCACTTGCTCTCTGAGTTTTATCTGTGCCGGGCAGCAGCTGCCTACACCTGATGTGACACAGAAGGACAGGGAGGAAGGAGGGTGAGCTGCTTTCCCAGGGACCTTTCTCTGTGGATCTCTATTGTTTTTAGCTGTGGCAGCTCCTGCAGAAGGAGGATCTGACATCAAATAGGTGTAAATCAGAGGACTCCTGTCAGCTTTCTTTACCCTCTCAGGGAGTTCTCAGAGAGAGAAAGTGGCAGGGAATCCTTAAGGACTTGGTGTCCTTTACTGATGGTACCTCCTCCTTGCTCTGGAATACTTGCACCCCAGAGAGCGTTTCTCTTGCTTCCCAGTTCTCCAGGAGGAAAGGAGATGCATGATGGATCTCCTGTCCTCTCCTGCACCTTTTATTCATGTTAGCAGACATTTTCCAAGGTGCATAGTTGGGACACATTATGTGGTCCCCAGCAGATGAAACCGTAGGAGGCTGCAGAAGGTCATGAAGAGTATAGAAGATTTGCAGAAAACCTAAAATATGGGCCCTACAGTGCACACTCAAAAGACTCAGCTTTCTTGAATTACTGGGCACATATCTCTGGAAGAAGGTGATAAGGAAAGAAATGTCTTAGTGTGAATTATGTCTGGGTAAAAGGGCCACTAATGTGACATTTCTTCCAGAAATTTGTGGAAGGCCAAAGAGTCCCCACTATCTGGAACCAGCAGACAGCATTAAGAATTTCACAGCAAATACTTTGCTTGACTTTATTTTTTAACAGTCAGTGCAATACATGAAAAGCCATTAAGGGATTTTTAATATCCTGAAAGGGTGCAACCAAATGAACAGTGAGGAAATCAGATGCTATACACTTGTTGAATTCTATCACCAAAAAAATGTAAATGTAGTAATTATAGGGAGAGGCAAAGTGAACTTGCAGCATACATCAGAACCACATCTAAAAGATGCCTAAAAAGGGTCACATAAACCTTAAACATCCCTTAAGAAAAGTTATTACACTAAAGGGGGCTCTTGCCAGCTTTTCATTACGAACATGCGTGATCTCTTTAAGGCTTTGTTCAGCTCTCTCACATTATCTAGTGAGTTAATCAAGCAACACAATATCCAAATATTTATATTCCTTCAGGCCAAAACCTCCACTGCTGCAAACAGTCTGTCCCCATTGACTCAAGGCAAGTAGGCATGGGAGCCCTGATAGTGACAGCCCCTCCAGATCTGCACTTCATGCTTGGTACGTAGCTTGTATAGAGCAGTTCTTCATCCACTATGCTCCAAGGAATTGTGCTCTATGTGTCAAGCCATTTCTCAGAAAATACTTGCCATATTATGAAGTAATGTGATTTGCACATGCTGGGCAAGACAGTGCTTTGTAGTTGTTGAGTGGAAATTGTTGAATAGATTAAAGAAACCAGTGGTCTTGAGAGCTGCACTTACAGCTAAATGGGCAGAGTGAAAGTTAAAAGGTAGGTCTCTATCACTGTCCTGGTAACCTGCCCTGCTACAGGGGCTGGGGTGGTAGCAGAAGGACTCAAAGCCACATTGTATACACAGAAGGATTTCCCAGCTGCAGACACTGCAAGAAGTCCCAAAAGCTGCCTTCAAACCTCATAGTCTCCTGTAACTTCTGGTGTAAATGTGCTGAAGAGCAGGTCCCTGGGGCGGCCAGGCTGTGGCACGGCCTGGGCAGCTGGCTGCCTGTGCACAGCTGGGATTTTCATTGACCCAGCACTGCCCAGCACAGGGGCTTTGCAGCCTACAGGTCTCCTCTTCCTGGGAACAGGGCACTGGGGGGCTTGCAGGGACTGAGAGATCCTTCCCCACAGCCCCTGTGTGACGTGCATTTATCACACGACAACACTCTATTATAAATATTGTATTTCAAAGTCCCCATTATTTTATAGAGACTACATGATTCTGATGTTGGATTTCTGCACAGGACAAGGTTTCTCCTTGACAGTGTTTATTGGTGGTTCCTTGGTGGTGTCACAGCTTTTAAAACTGTGCCACAATACGTTTTCTGAGACCAGCACTACCAGTTCGACAAATTCAGACTGAGAAAGAAAAGTTGATCCTGAAAACTATCATGTAGACAATTTACATTCCTATTTGTTTGCTTTTTTCATTAGTATGCTCACAGTTTGAACAGGGACGTTATCTGGGGGCTAAATGATGCACAAAAGATTGCAATGTAAAGTACTTGTTTAGAGACTTTCAAATAATGAATTTCTAAAACTAGCATTTAGACTGGGAACAGACTTAAGGACTCTAGCTTTTTACTTCAAAACAGCAAATTCACCAGCTACTGTCTAATTCTTCCTAATTGCTAAATAAATTGGACTCTGAGCAAGGTAATTAATCCTAGGGGGCTTACATAAGGTTTGAACATAAAGTATAGCTAGAGTTTTACAAAGATTGCTAATAGAAATCTGTTGGTGAAATAGGACAAAGGCATCAGGCATCCTGTAATTTTCTGGCAAAACAAACAAGAAGTAACAGTACACATGGGCTACAACCATGTGTATTTCTGCTCCCTATTCCAAGCAGATGTTCAGCTCAGGGGATTTACTAAATATAAGAGTGTGTAACTGACATTAATGTTCAAGAGGATGCTGGACTTGCTGACATAAAGAATTAGGTGAATTTTTCTAATACATGAAAACATGCCCAGTGGTACTACAGGAAGGTGGCTTTTGGATGGGGTTGGGCAAAAATGTGCACACAGGAGTAACCCCACCACACCGAGCTGTTCCAACAGTGACCTGGGCTGTGGAAAGGTCCTGGGAAGGAGAGAGAAGAGAGTTGTTTTACTCTGTTAATGGTTTATGCCATCATGTTACTTTACTCTTGGCCACCTTTTCTGCTTCCTTACTGAAGGTTTCACTTCACTTCTCAGCTTGGGAATAGGGACAAAGCATCTGAAGGAGCAGCAGAGCAGGCTGCCAACAACCACAGTGACACCGCACAGCGACAGCTGGCAGCACTGGTAAAACAGCAGACATGGCACTTCCAGCCAAAAGGGTTTTTTCCTTTCAGAAGCTACTTTTTCTTTTTCCTTTTCTGTTTTTTTTTTTTTTTAAAAAAAAAAA